ACCGGTATACTAGTCTCCTCGTTCACCTCGGATTTCTGGTCCACTCACACGCGATTCAATCAGCATGGTAATTTCTTAATTCCCATACATTAGGTCAACTAGAATTTTTTGTGAAATCTCATTTGGAAGATTTGATATGTTTAAAAAAGCGGACATTGTGTGATTCCCATATATGTAACTGCTTCGAAAGTTGCCTTTTTTCTAAAAAAAAAGCCTCGTCAAAGTTTACGCACTGATTTTCTCATTTGTCCGCGATGGGCATAAAGTTCGCCTTGTGGATTAATTATCTGCTGGTTTTGCAAATTCAATATTGAAAAAGGACGCATTAAATAAGTTTTGGATCTTTTATTGGTAGCTCTTTTGTTAGATTCAATGCCCATTGAAGTTTGATAGTTGACAGAACCAAGAAAAAAACTCCTAGACTCAATATTATTTTTATGCATGCCTATCAATCAATTGAAATTCTGAACTTTACAGATGCTCTACAAATGCACCGTGGTATTTTGAAGCAATGTGTTTCGACTCGCACTTATGGAAATTGCTTTATGAGACTTTCATCAATTTTACACCGATTACGATGGATTTTCGACAGTTACGATGCGTATCCAAGCCGAATGCTTGCGTATAGGCATTCTCCTACGCAAAGTGAGTTTTTTAAGTCGGCAGATTTTTTTGCACTTTGATTTCGCGTTTTGTGCAAAAAAAGGATTTTCATACCATCTTTTGTTGACGATTTTGGAGAATTTTTGTAGTTGTAAGTTTTACAATAAAAGCGTAAATAAATGCTGTTGAACTGATGTGAATATTCATTTTCTCTCACAACAGCTTTAACGTTTTCGTGACATTTTTGCCTGTAAGTTGTTATTTTGATGACTTTTTTATGTATTTCAAGCTAATGCTAATGTTTTGTTTGCTCACACATACCTGCTTTGTTAGAAGGTACTTCAAACCATAAAAGAGTTTAACACTTTTTACGTAGGCATATGTCACACCTTCGATCATTACCTTACCTGAGTTGTTGCTTTTTGCAAGTACAATTACAATTTCCTTTGAACCTCTTGCTTTTTCCAACGTAATTCACTCAAAATCGGTCATGCTTTTTTTGTTCCTTCGTTTGTATTTTCAGTATAAAAAATAATTGATAAATATACATATGCTTTAGCCATTCAACTGTTCAGTCAGTAACAATCTCAAGTAAAAATTTGAATTCTGATAAATAACACTTTTCTGAAGTATAAAGTAGTTCTGTGAGTGATGCATTTTTTTGAGTCTCCAGCCCATCTCACTTCAATAAATTATTCTGTAGAATTCATTGGAGAGAACAAAACATTAGTCAATGCAAAAATTACTTTTGGCAATTTTCGGCATTGCATGCCGTTGAAGCGAAACATTGAAATCATACTTTTTCTGATTTTCTTCTTTACCATTTCCAGCGTTTGAAGTGGTGATTGCTGGCTTGCTCATCTCCTCGATTACTATGGCTTGCGCTGTGGTCGTGACGGGCCCATTCTGTTGTCAGAAGTGTCGAATGTCAACAACGTTCATCGTCCTTCTGACGGGTGCGTTCCTACAGAAGCCCCTCAGGCAACGTTCTTTCAGCGGCAATCAACAGAATGAAACTCCTTGACAAATGTATCCATAAAGCTGAGTTATTTTTAGGAGTATGTGTCGGTACGGCCTGCTTTGTATACTGGCAAGCAAATCTGGAGGGCCAAACGTTCACATTGCAACATATACCAGTACACGATCTGTTCGCCTATGAGTTTGTGAGTTAACAAACGTGCATTTTCGTCCGATAGTACTCCCCAGGGAACCGCCCAAATGCTCTATGTCCGCGAAAACGACCACTTTCCCAGTAGTCATGGAGTGCTTATCTAACTACTCGCTCCAGTACGGAAATAAATAATGCATGTGCCCTCAGCAGATCCTATATCGTCGACGAAGTATGTAACTAAGAATTTAGGGCCACGAACGGAGCGTCCTAGCTTGGTCATTCTATATGGCAGTAGCCAGTGCTGGTCTATTCTGTCTTTCGGCTATCTTATTATGTAAGTTTTTAGTGGTTCTTTCTACACAATCTACCTTCGTTTGTAGCTTTCCACTTCTGAATAAAGGCAATGTTCTTG